CAGTTTGCTAAAAGCTTTTTGTCCATGTTGACGTTCTTGTTCAACGTTGTAGAGTATGTTAGGCTGGTCAACTATAGTTGGTTGAGGTAAGCAAAAGTGTTGACACGTTCTGCCATGCATTTTAAAAATGTTTTCTAAATCTAGTAAAGCACGATTGTAGGACTCGTCGCGCTGGTGTTTTTTTTTTGGTAATCCTCTGATAATGCATCACGAAATATATGCCAAAGCTCCAAAATGTTGGTTGGTGAACAGAAAACGCAAATAATTGCAAAAAGCCATCTCAACTGAGTTGGCATTTGGTAAGTTACAGCTTCCTGCAAACATTTTTTCCACTCAGCATTGTTACCTACTAAATGCAATATTTCCGCAGCTGCTTGAAAGCTATCATAGACTACATCGTTTACCGTACGTATTTCCGTGTATCATCCGACCAATGCACTTACTGTTTCTCGCCCTTATGCACCATTTGCCTTTAGACCATACGTAGTGTTACTGTAACATAATTCTCACGATGTCTATAAAGAGGGTAACCATTTACGTTTATGTTTGTTTCACTTCGAAATTCTTTGGGGAACCCTTTTCTACACTGACCGTCTTTCATACAGGGGCTGTTGGGATTTAAAATACCGTACGGACCGTGCGTCATAGTTTGCTTTATAATTGTAAAAAGTTGCGGGTCTTCCTCATTGTTTGGAAGCTCGGCAGAAATTAAGGAATCCACATCTTCATTTGAACGGAGCTTGTCGATTTCTCGAAGCATAAGAAGAATATGCGCGTGCGGTAGGCCTCTTTTTTGGAATTCGATTACACTAACATACGCAAGAACTACGCCTAGTACGTGCTTTTTTAATAAATCATCTAAAAGTAATTTCAGTTTTAAGTGAAATACTCTTGAGACTAAATCAGGCCTGTTTTCTGTCCTCTCATACGACTTAAGTTCTGATGTTATTTCAATCCATTTAGGGTTGCAAGTAAATGTAAGGAAAATGTCTGGTTTGCCAAAGCGGGATACTGTAGTCATAGCATCTTGATAATTTTGAAGCATGTTTCGCGGGCTACCAATAAACGAAGACGGAAGAATAACAGGAAGTCCTGTAGCTGCACCTCTTTGTTGAGCATCTGCATGAAGGAAATTCATTAACCCCTTATAGCTTTCAACTCGTAAATCTTTTTGATGTGATCTAATGTATGCAACTCTGGGGCCCTCCACTTTGACATAACTGTCTACAACGTATTGCTGAAATAATTTGCCTGAAGCTTGTGTTATATTAAATTCACCTCTTATTGCTAAACGGTAACAATAATATTGCAATTGAGTGGTAACGCTTCGTATTGCAGTTGCGTGGATGTCGACATGGTGCATACCTGGTTTCCATCCTGCGGCTCCACAGGGAAAGAGCAGAGGATAGCACATTGGATCTGAATGGGGATTCAGATASGATATTTTACTAAGTGATCCATCTGACTTATAAGAAATTGTAAAGTCAAATTTGYCTGGTGGAACGTCATCTTGATTCAAAAAAACTGCCRCAACTTTAGATACAGTGGGTGCATTATATCTTCCGGGATGGAAATCCGTATTATTAGACATATCTTTGACACAATTGAATGAACTCGCATACGGATTGTAGGCTATAAGCATTGTTTGTAGTTGGTTCATAAGAAACAGGCAACAACTGTTATTAACCTCTCGGTTTGTACGATAGTGCAAAGCATCATCATTGTCTAAAATAAATAGGCCAGCATATGAGGGTATTTCGCCCTCAGGTGGTTGTAAACCTCCAATTCTATGATATACTTGACCGTTTAGCTTGAAACAAAAGCGGCCTCTTCCAGGGATGTTAACAAAGTTTACTTGGACTGATGCAAATGCTAAAGCGTTGTTAAATTTTCTTATGTTTTCCAAATAGTTTTTTGTTACAGAATCATTGCGTTGGATTAGAGTTTTAAGTTCATCACATACAGAAATCTCTGGCAAACTCACCTTCCCTTTGTGACAACAAATTGAAGAACTTTTATAGCTAACTTAACTTGCAAATAGTTTTGCCATACAAAATATACATTGTTGATCCATACGATCGCTATGTGGTTCTTGGATGATTCCGAGGCGTGCGGAACAATAAGTTTTTGGAAGCTTTTCCTGTATTCTCCTAGAATTTGTGTCACTGCTTAGCTTTAAAATATATGATGGTACCAAGTCACTCCTACGCTGGACTACCATTTGATGACTTTGTTCCTGTCGACGATTATGCATTGTTTGCCTTGCATGGGCAAGATGAATATTTTTTTGCTGGCTTGGTCGACTTCTTCTAGCTTCTTGACGTCTTCTTCGCTCAGTTGAAGGATTTAAGGTGGCCCTAGGCATTATAATCTAACAATATGAACAAAATGTGAACACATGTAATTCATGTAAAAATGCACATCTTAGAACTAACCAATTATGTATTTTATCACAGGAATATAA